TGGACTCCGCCATGGCGGCGATGCCCCCGCGCGTGGTCGAGGGCGTCGCGATCCCCATCCGCTGCGGGCGCCCTTCGGGTGGGCGGGATAGCTCGGCCTCGTCGCGAGGCGCCAGGGAGCCAATCCCGCCAGCGCTGGTGGAGAAGATCGGCGGCTTGTGGGCGTTCCCTTCCCGCAATTAGTCTGGGCCTGCGAGTGGAAGGCGCAGTGGGCGTGCTCCGTCGACTTGGCGAAGAGCGCCATGCCATCGATAGATCAGCGCGTTGCTTGGAGAACGATGACAGCTCGCTGGCGAAAGAAAGGAACGAGCGCGCAACGTTTTTCTTGACGTCGTGAGCCGGAGCGACCGCGAAGAGCTTGAGAGCTCGAAAAGGCGACGTCGAGGCCCTCGGGGGAAGGGCTGACAAACCAGGGTGACCATCTCGTGCTAAAGACACTACGCTGCTTTGAGTGGGTCCGCGAAGGCTGTGGCGCACTCGTCCAGGATCTCATTCTGGATGGTCTCGGGGATGCCCGCTTGCACGGCTGTGCTGGACCAGCGCGCGGAAGTGGGATCGCTGGGAGAGGCCCCGCCTGGATCTGGACCAGCGCATTGCCGTTGTGTGTGATGTAGCCCTGCGATCAGTTGATACGGTGTCGTTGGCTGGAGACTTTGCTTGCAATATTTTGGCGGGCTTCTTGACTCGAAAATCCCTGCGCACCATCTTGGGGCCCTTGCCCTCGCTGACGTTACAGGGGATGTGCAACACCTGCCACATGTATGGTGAAGGCTCTCCACTCTTGCCCAGTGCGAAGTGCTCCGTGAAGTTTGCGAGCTCGAAGCTTAGCAGCGACTGTGCCACCCGTGACCGAGAAGGAGTGACGCCTGGCAGAGCCAACTGTGTTGAAAGCAATCTGGTTGCTATCAACTCCTGCAGCCTTGACCCAATCTGCGAGAGCTGGGCGAAGTGCTTCTTCTGTGAACGAAACTGAGCAGAACGTGGCAACGTCTGGCTCGCTGTCCCAGGTACCGATGTTCGCTGCGCTGATGGAAGGCAACGATTGTGTCGAGCTTGGCGACTGCTGCCCTGATCTCCGCGTTGCCTTGCTCAGCCTGGTCCATATGCTGCTTGACGAGTGCGACCTCGCGCTCCGAGCTTTCGTTCCTCCCCGGAGGTCTCGAACGACCTCTGTGACTGAGGCCATGGCGTTTTGCTCTGGCGGTCTCGGTGGCGCTCTTGGCGGTCGCTTCGAACTGGGCGGCAGCTTCACGTACTTGGGCGGCGAGGGCTTCTTCGAGTTGTTTGCGAGGGTGTGCAGGAAGAGCCGGCGCCTCCAACTTGGCGGCGGACTCTCCCGGGGGGTCGCCACCGCGTCCGAGAATAGCACCATTGCTTTCGGCGGCTCCGCGCTTGATCTGCTCGCCGTCCTGCACCATACGAAAGAGAGGCGATCCGTGCCAGCCACGAGGAAAGCAATGGCTGCGCCGATATGGGGAAATATGGAAACCAGCGCCGTGGGCAAGGTGAGGCGTGGAAACTGGGTCCTGAACCGCCCCTGGTCAAAAGGTCTCCGCACTCTGCCACGGGGCCTTTTTTGCGCAGGAGGAGTAGGAGAAGGAGGAGGAGGAGGAGGAGGAGGAGGAGGAGGAGGAGGAGAAGGAGGAGGAGGAGGAGGAGGAGCGGGAGGTGGAGGAGGAGGAGGGGGAGGAGGGGGAGGAGGGGAAGAAGGAGGAGGAGGAGGGGGAGGAGGAGGAGGGGGAGGAGGAGGAGGAGGAGGAGGAGAAAAGGAAAAGGAGGCGGATAAGGGAAGAGGAGGGGGAGGAGGATGAGGAGAGGGAAGATGAGAGGGGATGAGGACCAGTGCCACCGATGATGGGAAGGATGGGGGCCCGCCACCAGGGCGCGCCCAGCGTTGACGCCCTGTGTCTCCACCAGGCGGCCAGTCAAGCGCATGACCTGCGCAAAGCACCCCGGCTTCCGCCAGGACGAGCAACGACGAAGGAGAGATTGAAAGGAAAAGAAAAGGGAGCAAGAGGATAAACATGACGATGAGGATGAGTACGAGCACGACGATGAAGAGCAAGAGGAGATTCAGGAGAAGGAGGAGGAGAAGGATGAGGAGGATGGGGGAGGAGGAAGGAAAGCAGGAGGAGGAACAAACGAAAAGGGGAGAAGAAAGAGGACGATGAAGCGGAGGAGGAGGATGATGAGGAAAATAAGCAAGAGGGGGAAATGGAGGAGGTGGACGGTGGGGGGGGGGCGGGGTGATGAGAAGGGAGGGGCGAGACGAGAAGGGCGACGACTAGGAGGAGGAGGACGAGGAGGAGGAGGAGGCGGAGGCGGAGGAGGAGGGAGGAGGAGGAGACGCGGAGGATGATGAGGAGGAGGAGGACGAGGAGGAGGAGGAGGGAGGAGGAGGAGGAGGAGGAGGCGAGGAGGAGGGAGAGGAGAGGAGGAGAGGAGGAGGAGGAGGAGGAGGAGGAGGAGGAGGAGGAGGAGGATGGGGGATGAGGAGGAGGAGGAGGAGGAGGAGGAGGACGAGGAGGAAAAGGAGGAGGAGGAAGAGGAGGAAGAGGAGGAAGGGGAACTCAGGGGATGGGGGGAGAGGAGGGCAAAGAAGAGCATGGGGAGGATGACGACGACGAGGGGGAGGAGGGGAGTAGGGCGTGTGTGTTTGCGGGGCAGAAAGCGGAAGGGGAAGGGGGGGGAAGGGCGCGGATGGGGGATAGCATGAGAGGGAGAACGAGGATGGGAGGGGATGGGCAGGAGGAGAGCCTACGAGGGTGGGAGAGGACAAAAAGGATTAACCCCAGCAAAATACCCGAATAGCAACTAGGATGTGGAGGCGGATTGACGTCTGAAACGTCGGCTTGCGAGACCGACCTCATCCCACTGTCGATACGATTGCGGAGGTGAACTTGCTGATGAAGGTGACGCCCGTGATGGTGACACGAACGCGCTTGGAACAACATTCGGGACCGAACAACCCCACTCCTAGCAGCTGGAGTGGTGAGAAACCGATGGCCCTGCCACATTTTCTTAACCTAGGACAGCTGGCATGGTAAGAATCCCATACCACTACCATAACTTATGGACCTGCGACGGCTGAGCTCGAACCTGAACGCCAGAATGAGCCTCGCCCCTGAATCTGCGAAGGCAGGAAATTCTCGTGAGACTGGAATCTTTGAACTGAAATCGAGCCAGAGCGCCAAACTGAGTCTCATCTCTGGACCAAATCGAACCCAAACCCTATAATCACTTTCATTTTTGGATCTGGGGGAACTGAAATTGAACCAGGACACAATAGTGAACCTCACTGCTGGAATAAGTCGAGCCATAACACCAGAGTGAGTCCCAGATCTGGATTTGCGAAAGCTGAGATTGAACCAGAACGCTCGGCCCCACTGTGGAAACTCTGGTGACAATATTTTTCGAATTGAGATCGAGCCAGAGCACCATGGTGAGTCTCAAGTCTGGACTACATCGAGCCCGAGCACAATTCTGAGCCGAATTTCGGGATTTGGGAGGGCTGACGGACATCCACCCAGAACATCATAGAGAGCATCACTTCTGGACCACAGCAAGCCAAAGCACCAGAATGAGTGTAATTTCCGGATCTGCGAGGGCTTAAATCGATTCGTATCTTTTTAGCGAGTCGATTCGGGACAGCCACAGGACCGGTGAGACGCCTCCCCCCGGCCTTCCCATGCGGAGAGTCGGGATGATCTGGTGCAGCGAGATCGAAGCAGAACGCAATAGTGAGTCTCATGTTTGTGGCCTGGTTCGAGCCAGTATACCATAGTGGGTCATATTTCTAAGTTTGGCATGGCCGAAATCGAACCAGAACGCAATAGTAAGTCTGACTTCTGGGTCAAGTCGAGCCAGAAGACCCAAGTGAGTTTCATGTCTGCATCAAACCAAACCAAAACGCCATAGAGAATCGTTTCTAGACCGCCGCTGGACCCGTGAGGCGCCTCCCACCGGCAACCCCCCTTGTGGAGATCCTGGTGAGAGGGAACTTTGGCCTCTCGCAGAGCCCTCTGGCAAAACGCTGTCTACGGAAAGGGAGAGAGGAGGACGAGGGAGACGACGAGGATGGGAGGAGGAGGAGGAGGAGGAGGAGGAGGAGGAGGAGGAGGAGGAGGAGGAGGACGACGACGACGACGACGAGCGGCAGAGGAATGGGGCGGAGACGGAGAAGCAGAGGGACCGAGGTTGACGAGGGGGCGGAAGGCGCGGTGGAGGACGAGGACTGTGCATTCTCTCGGCGCCGTGCCCTTGCTGCAGGAGGTGCGGCGCACGGGTCCGTTCCGCAACCCTGCGTAGGCGGCCGCGCCTCGCTGAGCGGCAGCCGTGTGTTCGATTCCTTCGGCGGTGGACGACATCCCCGAGGTTCTGCGCCGTGAAACCCGGGCCCCCTCAATTCGCGAAATGTTAAACAACGACCAAAACTGCCACCGGGGTCTCTCACGGTGCCCTAAGACCGCCGAGCGACGACCCAGGACGAAACGCGGGTCACGGAGATCTGATCCACACCTCCATGGGTCCGAGTTGCGAGAAAAAGCGCGACGTCGGGGGCCTGAGGCGGGAAAGCATGCGTCCAAGGAGACCCCAATCGGGGCATTGCCGAAATGATACTTGTGTTGTGCAGCGCAGAGGTGCAGTGCGGTGCATGGCAATGCAGATCAAGGCCGTGAATGCCACATGCTAGCATACAAAGGCAACTCATTACGGCGTAGCGTTGAATCTCACAGCATTCCATGCCGCGATCTTGCATCTCAAATGGCACAGCGTAGCATGTCGTAGCATGGAATAATATTGAACTCAGTTTCATTGCCTAGCATAGCATAACGCAGCATGGCATCGCACAGCACGGCACCGCACGACATGGCGCGGGCAGCATCATCGCGAGGAGCAAGCGCCCGTGTCGCTAGGAGCTGGCCTGACTACGGCCACCAGGCATCGTTTAGCTTCACGGAATGTGTAGAATAAGGCCACTCTTCTCAGGCTTGCCGAATCGCTGATGTTTCTCAGGGTGGGCCCCAAACAGCTCTGGATGGGCAGGCCATGTGATGCAGGCCACGTGGTGCTAGCCATGTGGTGTAATGAGGTGCAGGCTGCGGGATGCAAGCTTTGTTGCACAGGCTGTTCTGCGAAAGACATGTGAGACGATCACGAACAAGTCTTACGCGAGATGACGTAACGACCTTCCGCGGTGGCTTACGCGGGCCGCTGGCGCGGCACGCCACACCGGAGACGAGGGCGCTTACGCGCGACCTTACGCGGGCAGCTCGCGCGCCAATGTCGGCGCAGTTGGACCCCTTTTTCTTCGTCGCCTGAGCATTTCCTCTCGGTGGAGGGCTCAGGGTGAAATCCATATGGGCTTCTGCACCTCGAAAATCAGTCCGTCCTGTGATGCACCTTCTGCAGATTCAAGCCTCCAGGACCCATCGAATCGGCATTTCAGATTTCACCCTTTGCCCTCCACCCAAAAAAAATGCTCGGGTCACTCATGTGGTGCAAGCCATGTGGTGACTGAAAGCGACCGGCTGGGTAGACGTCCCGGCCGGGTAGACGTCACCACTACCATGGAGGAGGAGGAGGAGGAGGAGGAGGAGGAGGAGGAGGAGGAGGAGGAGGAGGAGGAGGAGGGGAGGAGGAGGAGGAGGAGGAGGAGGAGGAGGAGGAGGAGGAGGAGGAATGTGCGATCTCTGTGGTGCACGCTGTGCGGTACCATCGCAGCGCCGACCAGCGCACGAGACGGCCACGGGCGGCGACGGGGCGGAAAACCCAGGCAACCCCGGCCGGCGCGCGCGGGGCGCCCAAACGCGCGGCGACCGGGCGACAACCCGGGCGCTGCCAGGGGGACAGCGCGTCGTGTAAGCATCGCGGCTGCAGCCCGCGGCCCCACGTGACTACCTACCAGACCACCCCAACCCAACCCGAAGACTCGAATTTCGGGTTGGGGGGGGTAAGGGTTCCATCTGTGTTTTTTCAATGTTCCCCGACCCCCCCCCACTGGAAATGGAGGGCAAACTGAGGCCTTCGGGTTGAGTTGGGGTGGTTTGGTGGGTGGTGACCACGTGTGTGCAACCTGTCCACGGCTCGATTCATCCGTTCAGGCGAGGCCAGGACGAAGAGAAGCTCGGGTGAAGACAAGTTGAGGGTCTCTGAGAATCGGCAGATCTGGAGGATGGCTTGGGCGCGAGCGTTCCGGAACGGTCTGAGAGCGTTCCGGAACGCTCTGGAACGGACTCGTCCTCGTCCTAGCCCCGTCCGATCCGTGAGGGCCCCAGGTGCCCGACACCAGATTTGAGAAGCGTTGACCGACTTTTGGGGAGGCGGCAGAAGCGGAGGGTCTCGGCTCAAGCAAGCGCCCCACTTGACTCGTCATGGGGCGCGCTCCCGCCAGGATTGGGAGGCGCATCCAGCCATGGCGACGAGGGCCGTCTAGAAGGCCCACAGAGGGCAAAGCACGTCGTCGGGGGTTACGCAGCAGAAGAGCTGAAGGAGAAATCTGGGCGAAAAACGCCCGTTCTGATGTTTGTCACAACGCCAGAGATTGAGGGGTGGAGGAGAGGGAGGATTGAGCAACAACCCGCCAACGAACGAACACTCTGCGCGCGAATACGAGATCTATGTTGCATCACAGCAGCAATTCGGCCCCTGACTTTCGTCCTGGGTTCGGTTTAGTGAAGTGATGAATCTCGGGGTCCTTACGCAGGGAAAAAACACTTCACTAATCTGGGGCCCCTGGGGCCTCAGTGAGCCCTGGGGCCCAAACTCAGTGACGTAATATTTTTCGGGCCTCGGAGCGAAGCGCGCAACCAAGAAATCCGCGCGGACCTGTGAAGGTTCAAGTGTCCCTGCGCTGCGAACGCTGTGAAAGGTCTCGGCTCTTTAAAGAGGAGCCCGTTTCGAAAGCACGAAGTGCGACACATCTGCCGCCGGCGTGCCGTCCGTGCCGTGGCGTGCTCGCGTGGCGTGTCGTTGCTGGTCCTGAGGCCCAGGAAGCAAGAAGTGTGCCGTGCCGTGCCCGCGTACCGTACCATGCCTGGGGTCTACAGTCAAAAACCCTAATAAGGGCGCAAGATCCTTGGAAGCCGAAGTTGGGATTTTTGGGGCGGCGGACGACGAAAACCTCAAGGAGGCAAGAGCAAGGAAGAGCAAGGACGCAAGGGTACCCTGAGCAAAGTCGCGCGTCCTTCTTAGGGTTTTTGACTGTACCATGCCTGGGGTCTCGAAGGCGGGAAGGTGCTCCGTGCCGCGCCGTGGCATGCCGTGCCGCGTGCCGAGGCTTGCCTTCTTAGGTGCTGCAGTGCGAAGAACCTGCCGTGCCCCGTCGTGCCCGAGCTCTGGAATGCCAGAGGCGTGCCGCGGCGGCCCTGTCTGGACTGCGAGAAGCGTGCCGTGCCGTGCTGCGCCCGCGTGCCGCACCCCGCGGGGCCCCAGGCTGCGAGAGGAGTGGGCCGTGCCGCGCCGGTGCCCGCAGGCCGTGCCGTGCCGGTGCCGCGCCTGGGCTTCGGAATGCAAAAAAGGGCTGTGCCGTGCCCGCGTGCCGTGCCGTGACCACCAACTGGGGCTGCGGCACACGGGGCCGGGCCGCGCCGTGCCGGCGAGCCGTGCCGTGCCGTGCCGTGCTCGGCTTCTCGCGGCACGGGGCACCCACAGCAGGCACGCCCCCCTCGGATTCGGCGTTGTGCCATTGAGTAGAAGGGGGGGGGGTCTGGCTCCAGACCTCTGCTCCGTGCGACTGTTTGCAGCAATGCGGCTGATGGGGGAGACTCCGCCTGCCTGAAACGGGCGCCCAAAACAGCTAAGACCTACTCCGCAGGGGGGGGGGCGAGGGCCCGTCCTGATCGGCAACGCAATGAGTACGAAAACGATCACATGTGGGTTCTCATGCAGCGTTGCTGTTTAGGGGCTCGTTGCACTGAGGTTGTTGGTTCACCGAAAAAACGGAAAAGACTTGCACGATTGCCTACACGTCGTTCATGTCTAATCGTGCTCATTTCAAATTGTGCTCGTTTCGAAATGCTCCTGGCCCCCTAGTGGCCAGGAAGAGGCCCAGGATAGAACATTTAGAAATATAGGGAAAACGCAGACAATGTGTAGTTTTCAACAGAAATGTGTGTTTTTCCCACAGACTGTGTGTTTTTTCCAAAGGATCTTGGCACCCCAAAAAACCAACGAACTTTCGAATGCTTAGAAATGAACAGTGTGTATCCCAAGGCGCTGCGGTGCTCTGCCGCCGCCGCTGGGAGCAACGAGAGCCGGGCGAGGCCACCGAAATGGTTGTCGCAGATCGCTGGGCTCGACCTCGAGACGTACGTCCTCAAGGTCTCCCAAGGAGGAGAAGGAGGAGAAGTAGGAGGAGGAGGAGAAGGAGGAGAAGGAGGAGAAGGAGGAGAAGGAGGAGGAGGGGGGGGAGGACGACGACGAGGGGTGATGATGGGGAAGAGGGTGGTAGTCAGGGGGGGACAGTGAGGGCGATGAGGAGAGGGAGAGATACGAGATGTGGAACGCTTTTGCTGTTTGTTTCAGGGGAACTCCAGCAGCCTCCGGACACATTGGGCGGGGGGGGAGAGCAAGGGGGAGGATGGGGTGAAGGGAGGGGGAGGGCGACTTGGAGGGGGAAGGGGGGCCACCTCCTCCTCCTCCTCCTCATCATCACCATCATCCCCTTTCCCCTCCCCCCCCTCCTCCCGTTTCCCAATCAGCTTCGTCACCATCACAGCCACCATGATTATCATTACCAACACCTCCACCATCACTATCATCATAGTCAGCATCATCATCATCATCATCATCATCATCATCATCATCATCATCATCATCATCATCATCAGCAGCATTGTCATCATTAGCACCATCATCACCATCACCATCACCATCACCATCACCATCACCATCACCATCATCATCATCATCATCATCATCATCATCATCATTATCATCAGCATCAGCACCAGCATCATAATCAACATCAGCATCACCATTATCCGCATCACCACCATCACCATCCCCATGATCATCACCATCAGCATCATCATCATCATCACCAACATCATCATCTCCATCATCTCCATCATCAGCAGCAGCATCATCATCATTAGCATTATCACAGTCACCACCGACGTCATCATCATCATCACCACCATCATCATAATCACCATCGCCACCATCGCCACCATCATGCTCATCATCATCATCATCATCATCATCATGATCATGATCATCATCATCATCATCATCATCATCATCATCATCATCATCATAGCCATCACCACCATCACCATCACCATCACCATCACCAGCACCAGCACCATCATCATCACCATCATCAGCATCAGCATCAGCATCAACATCAGTCAGCATCATCATCATAAGCATCATCATAATCACCATCATCACCATCATCACCATCATCATCATCATCATCATCTTCATCATCATCATCATGTCATCATCATCATCATCATCATCATCATCATCATCATCATCATCATCATCATCATCATCCCGTCATCGTCGTTGTCGAAATCGCCGTTGTCGTCGTTGCCGTCGTGGTCGGCATCATTGCCGTGATCACCATTATCGTCATCATTGTCCTCGCCACCACCGTCCTCGTCGTCGTTGACATCACCGTCGTCGACATCGACATCGCGGTTGAGCGTGGCTGCCAGGACTGATGCCCGTAGATGGTGGTCGTGATAGTGTTGGTACAAAGTGGCCGCGATGCGAGGATGATGGTGGACATCTGCAGAATAGCTTTATGATATGAAAGCATGCACCGCACCACCTCCAGAGAGAAAAAACACATGCAACTAATCGTACAAGCAGCCTGCGCAAGGCTTGCCGGTCACTGCACCAATCGCCGCAGGGCCGCCTGATTCTGCTCCAGCGACGCCCGGAGCTCCGCCCCCTCCTCGCGGGCGCGCCGCAGTTGCGGGCCCAGGGCTACGAGAGCATCCTGCACGCCGAGCAGCTGCACCGCCTGCGCCCTCGACAGGTCCGCCTCCGCCTCCACCTGCCGATCCAGCAGCGCGGCCTCCTCGGACGCCAGTGCATCGGCGGCCGCGGCGTGGGCCGCGCGGTCCTCCTCCAGAGCTCTGCGCGCCAGCGACAGCTGCTCCGCGGCGAGCACCAGGCTGCGCCGCTCCGCGGCCACAGCGCTGCGCAGCACGGCGACGTCCGCCGCAGCGGCAGCGAGCTCGGGCCGCCGGAACGGCGCGGGGCTGCTCAGCTCGTCGATGCGATCGCGCACCTGCGCCAGCTCCTGGTCGAGAAGGCTACGCTCATCGACCCCCAGTGGCCGCTCGCAGCTGCCCAGCGCGGGGCCGACGGCGGCCGGACCGAGGTCGAGGCTCCACCTGTCGTCAGCGCTGCGCCACAGCGCCAGCTCGGCGTGCAGCCGCTCCACCTCGGCCGCGGCGGCGCGAAGCTCCGCCGCGTGGCTGCCCGCTGACCCCCTGGGCTGCCCCCGCGCCAGCGTGGGCGTCGACGCCGACTGCGGCGTACCCGCGCGAGCGGCCAGCGGCGGCCTGGGCTGCGCCTGAGAGTGCTCGCGCTCGTACTCGGAGAGGTCTTCGGCCTGGCAGCGCACGATCTGCCGCAGGAGGTGGACCTGTTCCGCCAGCAGCTCCTCCTGCCCGTCCAGTCTCTGCCGGCTGATCGGGTGTCGACAACAGTGCCCCTGGCCCCAGGTGCTCCCCAGCTCTCCGCCCATCCGAGGCCTCCTTCTTCCTCTCGGCCCTCGGGCCCTCGTGGCCTCCCACGGCCCGCGGGCCCGCGCTGGCCAGCTTCCATCACGGAAAGCTGCTCGACGGGGCCGGGGTGCCCGGAGCGGACCCCCACAGGCCGAACTCGAGAAACCTCTGGCGAGATCTCGCCGACCCTGGGGCCAGGGGCACCCCCGGCGACGCCCGGGCTGAGCGCGCGACTGCCGCAGACGGAGCAGAACGGCTCCGCGCGGGCCGCGCCCCGCCGCGGCGACGCGGCGGCGCCGCGGCGCAGAGGCGCTGCGCGGGAACAGTGGCACTGGCTGCGGACGGTGCTGCCGCCATCGGCCAGCGGAGCGCTCGAGGGCACTGACCAGTGCAGCCACCAGCCGGGGCACTGGGCGCCCGTGGCGGGGCCGCGCTCCGCCGAGGGCCGCCGCCGCAGCTTCGAGCCCGCGCGCCCGCGCGGCGGCCCACTCCTCGCGCCGCACTCGGAGGCGCAGCGGCGCACGCCGCCCATGGCGGGCTGCCCGCGGCTGCCCGCGGCGAGAGGCCGCGGGGGCGGCGCCTCAGAGCCGGAACGGCTGCGCGGAGGAGGGCGGGCAGGAGGCCAAGGAACGGGGGCAGCAGCAGCAGCAGCAGCAGAAGCAGCAGCAGGGCGAGAGAGGAGGCGGCGGGGAGCAGGAGGAAGGGAAGCAGGAGGAGGAGGAGGAGGAGGAGGAGGAGGAGGAGGAGGAGGAGGAGGAGGAGGAGGAGGAGGAGGAGGAAGGGCAGAACGAAGAGGTCGAGGCAGAACCGGAGAAGCAGGGGCAGGAGGAGAATACCCTCGAGTACCTGAAACAACTGAGCTGTCTGAAACGTGCTGCATCCGATGCAACGGCTGCCACTGAAGCTCCGGGCACACGCATGTTGCCCAGCCCTTGACGGGTGGAGCGGCTTCTGGTGTCCCTTCGCGCCCACCCCTTCCCGCGCACAGGAACTGCACGCCTTCGCCTTTGGCGGGCATGTGGGTGTGCGGGCCGCCCCCCCCCGTAACGCCGTGCCCAATTGACGACTCGAGCCCTCTCCCCCGCAGCCAGACAAAGCAAGCAGGATGGTGACTGAGTGAATGCCTGACGCGCCCCTGACTCGCTGAAGGAATCCCCAAGTTCGACCAAAGTCACACTGAATACAAATACTCATACAACCCTCGGGATGGTGAGCAGGAGAAGGCCAGGGAGCAGGAGGATGGGGAGCAGGGTAAGGAAGAGAAGGTAAAGGAGGAGGAGGAGGAGGAGGAGGAGGAGGAGGAGGAGGAGCAGCAGGAGCAGGAGCAGGAGCAGGAGTTGAAATATGAGGGGCAGGATAAGGACCAGCACCGGAATAACACATAGAACAGTCGTGTGCCAGACGAACCAAGCACCACTGCGAGATCGGAAGCTAGACCTACCCCAGCCCGTCCCTGTGCGAAACCGAAGAGCTAGTGTGAAAAGGCCTTTAGTGGTGGACCACCAGACGCCGCAACCTCCCCGCTGGCGCCCGAAAATGATTTCCAGGAAGACCAGAGAAGAGGCATACAGTGGAGGCCCGACCACAAGAAACATCCCACAAGAAACCCAACCCTGAGACCCCAGGACGTCCCTTGACTTTTCGTGGGAACGTCACGCTTTCCGTCGAAGAACCGTCGAAACCCAAGAAACCCAGGGCACCCTGGAGGCAAGCAAGGTGTTTTTTTGGCACGGCCCCCCACCGTACCCGCCAGGAGCCGGCGCATCCGCCACGCCTGCCGCCGAAGACACCCCGCAGCGAGAGATGGGGCAGCAGCAGAAGCAGGCGGAAAACTCCACGGGCGAAGAGCATCATACCATGAGCTTTTGCGCCGCCGGGGGCGCCGGGCCCAGGGCGGCTCGACAGCTGATACCCTTAAGGTGGCACGGCAGGGTACAAGCTCTCCAGCCGCCCCGGGGCAGCGCCCCCCGCGATGGAGAAGTTCACGTCACACCGCTCGTCGCCCGCCAAAACACGGGAGAATTCCCGAGATGCATCTGCAGTGTTAAGTCGGGCCTGTCCCCCTACAGGGGGATTTTCGACGAGAACTTTAAAACATACAGAAAATTACACTAAAAATAATCCAAAAATAATCTGGGGACTATTTTTTTAGTACTTCTGTTGGCCTTTTTGGGTTTTTGTTGGGGTAATTTTTTATTGTTCGTCGACACTCCCCCCTGTAGGGGGACACGCCCGACAGAACTGCGGTGCTGTACTCAAACTCCCCGCCACGTTTGCCCCCTTTATATCCCTCCGCGGAGCTCCGGGCAGGCCTTGCCCGCGCAGTGTCGGCGCCCCCAGACGGTAGAGGGAAACGATTACTGAACACTCTCCCTCTCCCTCAACCTCAACGTCGGCACGCGCGGGAGAGACTGCGGTCGAAGTGCATCTCATCAGACCCACCGCCAACTTTGAACATTGGGGGGAGGGGGGGCCGTTGACAGATGAATTTGGCATGAGTGTTCGCTAATTTGTTCCGAGGCCTGGACCACCAGACTTCAAAATGGATGCCGAGACGGAGGACCTCATATCTGTCGCCGGCGTCAGCAGACCGCGACGCGCGCGCCACCGGACACTAGAATTGGAGGGGCAAGGGTCATGTTGCTCCCACCGTACTGAATGAAGGACCACATCCCAGAAATAATTTCGAGCACCCGGAAAAGTGTCGAAAGAGCGTCGAAAGAGTGTCGGAACAATGCCGGACGAGCGTCTCCCAGGGCCCGACACGTGAAAGCCCTCGAGTTTTTGGGGCGCTTCCATGGTGCTCGAACTCCTTCCTGGTGATCCAGGCCCGAGCAGGCTGGAACATCATAAGACAAGGGAGGGGGGGAGGGGCAAACCTTGCCTGCGGGTCCGCGGCGGGGTGTGCAAAAGCTCCCCTCTCACCACACGGGGCGCCGCCTGGAAGACCAGACGAGCACCCCGTGGCCCTGCCATGCCAGCGAGGGGCGCGCGGCGCGGAGGCGAGAGCCCCGGCCTGCGGAGGAGCCGCCCTCCATCCTTGCAGCTGGACGGGCCTGCGTCCCGCCACCACCGCCATGAGCTGGAGGGGGGGGAGGAGGTGGAGGACGAGGAGGAGGACGAAGAGGCGGAGCAGGAGGAGCAGGAGGGAAAGGAGGTGGAGGAGGAGGACGAGGAGGACCCCCCTCCCCCTCCAACGTATGGTGGTGGTGGTGGTGGTGGTGGTGGTGGCAAAAGCAGGCCCACCACAGCTGCTGCCAACTGTGAAGACGAGCGCGCGCGGCGCCGGGGCGAGCGCCGAGTTCCAACGGCGGCCCTCCTCCGCCCCCGCCGCTGCTGCAGGCCTGGAGGCGGATGTGTGCGGGGCGCCGTGGCGAGAGCCCCCCCTCGTGGGAGCGCCTCGTGCTCCGTCTCTGTGTGGCGGTTGCGGGCTTCAACCCTCGAGATCACAGGTGATGCAGGCGTCTCACGCGAAGCGCCCCGCCCGCCCGGCCGACACGTCGGTGGGTGTGGCAGTGAGGAGTTCTCTGGAAGGCAGGGGATCCAAGAGAAGGACGAACAGGAGGAGGATATCAAGACAAGGACGAGGAGGGGGGTTGGGACGAGGACGAGGAGGAGGCGGACAGGGACGAGGAGGAGGGTATCAAGACAAGGACGAGGAGGAGGACGAGGAGGACGAGGACGATAAGAACGGATATCAAGACAAGGACGAGGAGGAGGACCGGGATCGGGATCGGGATCGGGCTCGCCGAGATCGGGCGCCTGCTCCTAGCCATCGCGGAGGGCTTGCAAACGTGCCCTCCGTGAGCTCTGAGCGGCGGGTGAGGAGGATGAGGAGGAAGTGCTGCGCGCGAGGAGGATGAGGAGGGGAAGGGGAGGAGGTGCTGCGCGCGTTGGCATATCCCTCTGACCAGCGCAACGGCCTGGGCGGTCCAGGACAACCTGCGATTGGGCAGATCGGGCACGCCGGGGGCGGCCCTGATGAGTAGAAAGGGGGGGCCCGGGAAATTCAAGTTCAACTCCTTGTCCTCCATATTCGGATCACTATCCTGATACTTGTCTCCTCCTTCTCCTCCTTTTGCTGCTCCCCTCCTGATCCCAATCTGGGCTACAATCCTACTCATCCTCATAATCTCCGCCGCCTCATTCTTCTTTTCGCCCCCATCTATCCATTTTCGCAAGCATCGCCATTCGCCTTCTTGCAAGATTCTTGCAGAGGAGGAGCCTGAAACACGGCGGCCGCAATGGCGCCAACGGCGGATATGTCAAACGGACGGCAGTGCGGCGGACCGTGCCTCTTGGCTGATCATCTTGCGCTGGGCGACAATCTCTGCCTGGGCAACGCCCGAGGACGTGGGGCAAAACTCCTGACCGAAGAAGGAGGTACACCCCTAGCTAGTGTTTGGACACTACTGCTACGAGAGAGTGAAGAGCGATGACAGGACGAGAAGGTCATACAAATACGATGATGGGTTGCACTTGCGGGCAAGAGAGCACCACACCCGAGTGGCTTTATTTTGAATAATCTGCTGCCAAACGTTCTGTTTGGCTCGTCCAGAATACTTGCCAGAACTGGCTTGCGGAGAGCCCAACGCAAATCAGACACTCAGTACACATGGTGCAGCAAACGTCCCCATGGGCCTCATCCTTCTCTCCGTACTTGAGCCGTGTGTGCCAGATCTTTCAGCATGCGAGCGTGCGCCGCCACCCGACACGTCGTCCTGTGCACCCACGCGGAAGAAGGGCACACTCTTGTTACATCGTGTCTCTGTTTCGCGGCTTGAGCCCCAGAACCCTCGACCCCATTTCCCGAGGTCGGTCTCTCGTCGCGTGCATTACCCGCTATTCGGAAGAAGCAGGTGGAAACATGAAGTATGAAGGAGGATCAAGTAGATTGTGTTCGGGCCCGCCCAAAGAATAACAAACAGAGCTAAGGCACATCGGTTCTTGAACTAGGATGGCGCTTGAAGTAGATTGGGATCGGGAAACCCCCAAATACAGACTTTCAACGACCGGCGTGTGTGTTGGCGATCTCGGGGTCTCAGAAGCGCTCTCTAGGAGGCCGAGACCGAAACCCAAAACACCTGCGGCGAACTTCTCTTGCATCGCCCGGAGGTCCGGGCAGGAAGTCGAGGAGGCCGTGCCCAGGCCGTTCCGCCAGCACCGCCCGCGAACGAAGAGCTGAGGGCGCCGAATGCCTGGCGCGCGAGATCGAACGGCTGCTGGCTGCCGCTCTGCTCCGAGGACCTGGAGGACGCCACGCGTGCACACCTCCACTGGTCCTGCCCGTGCCAATCCTGCAACCAGGATTATGTTGCTTCCATCGTACTTTAAAGGGCCACATCCCAGAAATGATTCCGGAGAAAAACCCCAATCAGGGCTATAGGGCTAGGGGGCTATAGGGCAATTGAGCTATAGGGCTATAGAACTATAGGGCTATAGAGTTGTACGGCTGTAGGGCTATTGGGCTATAAGGCTATAGGGCACCCCTGGGCACGTCTGGGCACGCCTGGGCACCCGGGCACCCCCGGGCACCCCCTGGGCACCCGGGCAAGCAACGAAAATCGGCGGCCAACCTCACCCCCGGGCACCCCCGGGCACCCGGGCACCTGGGCGTGCGGCGAAAATCGGCGGCAAACCTAACCTAACCATGTGAATCCGCTAGAACCCCTGCAGAGGCAAGCTCTGATTGGGGAATAATTTCGAGCACCCGGAAGAGTGTCGAAAGGGTGTCGAACAAATGTCGGGTGAGTGTCTCTCAGGGCCCGACATGTGCAAGCCCTCGAGTTTTGGTACTGTCTTGGGCGCTCGACATTCTTTCTGATGGTCAAAGCTAAAGTAGGCTGCAACATCATAAAATCGGGGATGGACAGACCCCCCTCTAGTAAAACGTGGTTTAGTGAAAACGACCTGAGGCCCAACCCTGGCGGGCGCAAGCCTGGAAAATAACGGCCACGGCGCCCTCTCGAGAACCGAACACGGACAATTCACGAATCGACGTGTCACTGCTGGGGGGCTCTGTCCACCCCCGATAAAACCAGGATCGGCGTCCTCCGGAATGAGTGCGGGCGTGCAGCGGGCTTCCCCCGACGAGGCGGCGAGCACCTGCTCAGAGGGTTCCGCCGCTCGTGACGGCCAGAGCGGGGAGCCCGTCGAGCGTGGAGCGAAGCGCTGACGCCAGCGGGCAGCGGGCACGCGCGAGCGAGCGCGCCTGGGTGCCCTCCAGCGCGGCAATGTTGCCCTGCAGCCTCGCCTTCTCCTCGGAGAAGCGAGGGGGTCGAGGAGGGAAGGGAAATGCGGCCGGGCGGGAGGTAGAGGGGACAGGGGTACAACTCCGCATAATGAGGACAAGCTCGCGCGCAACACGCCCGCACGCCTGGAACGATACGATATCAGACTTCATGAAGTCAGTGGCCCGAAGCAGTGGGCCGAAGACCTGCACCAGCCACAACAGCACGGCGCCTTCACGCTGGATGCGCTCGCTCGCCTTCACAGTCTTGCACGCGCCGCGTGCGGCAGAGGATAAGACACCAGGAGGCGAACCCGGAGTGATGGCACACACCCTGGCTAGGTGAACGTTAGGTGAACGTTTTCTTACTGGGCCTTTCGACATTGCGCGGAAGGGGGGGGCTGGCTCCAGACCTCTGCTTAATGCGACTGCCTGCAACAGCGCGTCCTATGGAGGAGACTCCACCTGTTCGAAACAGGCGCCAACAACAGCCATGATCTGCTCCACGGAGGGGGGAGGGTGCTGCGAGGGCCCGCCCCGATCGGCAAAACAATGCATAAGGAAACGACCACTAGTCATACGCTGTGCTTGCTGTCGAGGTCGGCCGCGCCGCTCTCGGTAGAACCAGCGCAGGGGCTCCAAACGGCCGGTCACGGGGCCCGGGCCCGGGACAGCGCGGGACACGGCCGGCTGAGACAAGTTCAGGGGTAACGGAAGGGGGGGAATGGGCACATGGGGGGATGCATCGACCCCCTATCACCCATTGATCGCCGACAGGGGCCCGAAAGACGCAAGCTGCCCAGGAAGGTGCGGGTTCACGATCGGGGGCGTATCGCGTATCGCCGATCTACCGGCGACGTATCGCCCGGTCCAGGTCAATAGATTCCACCCTTTGCCAATCCCACCCCCATCGTTGCCCCTCACAATTGGCGGCGACGGAGGGCGACGCCAGGGCCGGGGACAGTCGAGCAAGCGGTGAACAGCCGGCCAAGGACAACGGCGCGGGGACGGGAGCCAGCACCAGGGTTGGGAACAGTCCAGCAAACGAGCCAAATGGCTAAGCTCGCTGAGCCAGGTGTCAGGGCTGAGGGAAAAGGATCCTGGACCGAACGGCCTTCCCACCTTGCCATCGCTCGGACGTCCATTCCCCGTGAACGTTTCGGTTTCGTGCGTATTTTGTTATCGCAGGATGATCCTAAATGCCCCTCGACGGCCCCCACAGAACAATGCACACGTCAGGGCGATGCCAAGCCACGGGCCAGTGCTTTTTCCCGAGCCGTCCTCGGCAAATCTGATTGGCCACTCGGACGAACGACCGCCCGAGGAGCCTTGGCCAGGGACAGCCAGGGGTAGTGGGAGGCACGACGGCAGCGTCGGGCAGGGGGCACTCCCAGCGATAGGGGGGGGACCTGCCTCCCACACAGGCAAGATCGGCGACGAGCCCATGGGGGAAAGTGAGAAGGAGACGGCCTTCTCACAAGGTTCGGAAGTCCCATGGCCTTCTGAGAAGTTCTTCGAAGGGGCCCCAAGACACACAAATAAATACACACAAATAAAGATATTCACCATGCTTTCCCATATTATCTGGGTTTTTGTCTTCCCCCCGAATTCCCATATTTTCCCATATTTTCGGGGGAGTCGACGATTACTTGTGTCTGTGTGTTTCTTTCCCTCCTGATTCTTGAAGCCTTCCTCGAAGACGATCGAACTTCTCAGAAGGCGCGAGGACTTCTGAGACGTCCCGCCGCCTTCTGAGAAGGCCTTATCCTTTTCACTTCCCCCCCTCGCTCGCCGCCGACAAGAGCCCCTTCGGTGCAGGCACTGCCTCGGGGATGGAGAGAAGCGCGGACCGCTGCCGAAGGCTGCGGGCCTGGAGAAGCAGGAGCCCGAGCTCCACCCCCGCAGCCCGCGAGCCCCTCCTGGGGGGCCACATGCGAACCCTACCCCTACCCCCCCACGAATTCTGAGGGGGGGGGTCATTTCGCCCCACCAGAACCCCACTCTCCCCCCCAGAAATCGTGGGGGGTAGGGGTAGAGGGGGTTCACATGTGGCCCCCTATCTCCCGTAGAGCAGCGGGCCGGAGGTGGCGCAGTGGGCAGAGACAGGTGCGGCCCTGGCGCCAGGCACTGCTCGGCGGCGAGCCCAGGGGGGGAAGTGAGAAGGAGAAGGCCTTCTCAGAAGGCTCGGAAGTCCCATGGCCTTCTGAGAAATGTTCTAAGCCTTCCCCAAAAGACACACAAAAACCTTCTCGGAAGGCCCGAAGGCTTCTGAGAGAAGTCCCGCCGCCTTCTGAGAAGGCCTTCTCCTTCTCACTACCCCCTGGGCTCGCTCGTCGCCGAAACGCAGCTTCCAGTCTCTGGCCGGTCTGGGCAGAGCTGGGCGCCCGCACGGGCTCTGTCTACATCGTCCAGGCTCGCTTGCCCTGGCATGTGCCCTGGCTCGTTTGCCCTGACACATGCCCTGGGGCAAGCGAATTAACACATATCTCAACTCATGGAATCATCTCCGGTGACACGTGTCTGTTTGAGATCTGCATGTGTGTCTCGTGTGTGAGGCTTCTGCGAGGCACACGTCGGAGGGAATCTCCCAGGCGAGCACCAGCAAAGAGGGCAGGCGAGAAACCGACGTGGGCGAATGCTGCGATCCGTGGGCTTCTGTGCGCCACCCGTCCCCGAGCGCGCGTCCCAAATCCTAGCTGCTGAGCGCCGCCCTCTGATCAATGCTCTCCTCCACCATTGCCACTCTCGCCTTCCCAAGCCAACCAACTATCTAACGACGCGGTCGAACAACCCCCCATCCCCATGGCCAACTTTCCCGAGCATCTGGCACAAACACCGCGTTGGGACCATCTCCACCCCAGCCAGCTACCTGTCTGCACATTCACAGAACAGCGGATGCAAAGCTGAAACCTGCACTGCACTTGCCTGGCATGTTTGCACGTGGCAAGGGCACAACGCACAAGGTGAGGTCAATAATAGTCTCAGATCTGCGTTCGTACGAACAACAGTGCACCTGGAATCATCCACGCGCGCACTCTGCAATACTACAGCACGCGAACGCCGCATGGCCCGCTCCAGAAT